TGTTCGCCAATCACAACGCACTGGGACAGCTAACCAATCACAACATGTTTTGTTTTTCGGAAGTGGACCTTCATCAAAGCCGGAAACTAATCGAGCCGTTTGTGCCAGGCTGGGGAGAAAGGTATTTTAATAATGTAAATTATGTGAAAAATAATGCATTTTTCGAACCACCAAGCATGAGAGCATGTTCTAGTACACCCCCAAAACAAAATCAAGACTTTGTAAAAGAGCATAATAGGACCCCTTTAACTGTTTGTCCACAAACAAAAATAGTTTCAAATAACGCACATATCTCTGAGTAACACACAGTAATGACATTACTGAATGATTTTGATTCAGTCACTTAATACATTTGTGTATTGAACAAGTCATTTGAATGAATGAGTCAATGAGTAATTTATAAAGAAGGTCATATTATGTTTTTCGTTTTAAATGTTGTAGTGAGTGTGTTTTAATTTTGTAAGTCAGTCTGTAAGGGGTTTTCACCTATTTTAGCTTGCATTGTTCTGTTAAAGTTTGAATGCAATAAAAAAAAATATCCTGTGTTTTTGAGCGAATCGGTGGACTGAATGATTCAATGGCTCGCTCACTTGTCGCCACATACTGGCAAAACTATGTAATCTAAGTCACTAAATATTCTACAACACATGGACAAATACTGACAAACAGAGTGATTCAAGTCAGCAGTGCTGTTCTGAATAAGGCTTTTCAGTGACTTACAATATACATTACCTGGAACTCGAATCCACAATGCTTGCCTGATTAGTTGAGCCTGAGGAAAACAATTAGAGGCTGTGAGCTACAAAAACATGTTTTTGTTCCCCCTCAAACCACAAAACATTGTGTTTTTGCTTCATATAGTTACAAATCAACAAGAAAACACTGCAATTTATTGTGATTTATTTGAGCTATAAAACAACATAGAGTGCTATACATTAGGTGGAGGTTATTAGCTGGTAATGATTTTTGCCTTGAAATTCATTCCTGGCCCGCTGGCTGTGCTTCCTGGGGGGAGACGGAGCTGTAAGGTGGTCACAAATCTAGTGTTGTCCTCATAACTTCCCTGACCAACTGGCTCGCCAGTCTCTGCCAAATGACTCAGCTGTACCTTCCAGGCTCCAGCCCATCGCTCTGCCAGAAAAATGCCACAGATAACGGCTCCAACAGGGGCCATTCCTCCATGGAAGCCACTCGGCCATCATTCAAACTAGCAAAAAACAGGGATATAGAAACCATGATTTAAAAGAGGAGTGCAGATGGATTTGCCTTTCATCAGCATAAAACTGATTAGTATATGAGTGATTCCGTCTGTTTTTGGGATTGATGGATGAGGGGTGGATTGTGACTGAGGCGTCCAGACCACATCTCAACACAGTCCACCCTTCTGGAATCTATTTAGCTATAGCTCAGGGTATCATGTTCACACACAGCCTCAGTTTTGTGCCCAATCAGCAAAGTAACTGAAGCACAGCATTAAAAATGAAAGAATCAAAGTATTAAACTTACAGAAATTCATGGCATACTGTAATTGATATTTTAAATATAAAAGGAAAATGCAGAAGAAGCAGACTTCTGCTTTGTGTGGTATTGTTTTAAAATAAACTGTGTGTGATTGATGCCTCTGCCATGCTTCAGAGAACATCCCTTCTTCTTCTGTGGATTCGATTTACTCTAAAATTTACAGAGCAGGACGGGTCTTACTAAAAGATGATGAGTTGGATTTACGGAGACCTTGAGCGCATAAGGATTTTTGGCGTTTATGTAATCATAAATTCACTGATATGCATTGTGAATTGGAAAATGAATTAAAGTTATAGATATTTAAAGATGAAAACTGCACCTTTTACTACCAATTACTAAACTTAGTTTTGTGAGTCAGTCCAGACCCAAGGAAAGAACAAAGGTGCTTTCAGTGAACAATGAAGACAATGCTGCCATCTGCTGGTCAAAGTAGCCATTGTTATTTTGACTGCAAACGCAATCTGGATTTTGAAATGCATGTCTTTTTAAAGATGGCTTCCTGCTCGTGCGTTTCTGGATGTGGTCGTTTCCTGCCTCCATCTGATGGTCATGATCACTGCCTCTCGTGCCTGGGCTTACAGCACGCTGAAGCAGCGCTCATGGATGAGTCATGTTCTCAGTGCGGGAACATGACCATCGCGACGTTGCGGTCTAGATACCTCCTCATTAAATGGGGGGGTATCCCCCTTGCCATGCCCCGCTCTAGCTCCTCCGGTTCTCGGAGGGCTACTACAGAGAGTCAGGACCTCGGTTTAACGTCTCATCCGAAAGACGGAGAAATTCTTCTCCTCCGAGTTACTGTCTTCCGCCATTTTGGAGAGTATCAAAACGCATACGCACGCTTTACCCTAAGTGTAAACAAGGCTGATTATGCTGATTACGTTCATGCGCGCGCTTTCCCCCCTAATGTAAACAAGGCTGATTACGTTCTTGTGTACTCTCCAAAATGGCAGAAGACGTAACTCGGGGGAGAAGAATTGTTGAATAAATTGTTATTTTTGTTTTCTTTGCGCACAAAAAGTATTCTTGTAGCTTCGCAAAATTGAAGTTGAACCACTGATGTCACATGGACTGTTTTAATGATGTCCTTGCTACATTTCTGTCTGGGAACATTTCATTTGCGTTGCTGTCTATGAGAGGGTCAGAGAGCTCTCAGATTTCATTAAAATATCTTAATTTGTGTTCCGAAGATGAACGAAGCTCATACGGGTTTTGAACGACATGAGGGTGAGTAATTAATGACAGAATTTTCATTTTGGGGTGAACTAACCCTTTAATGTTGAAAACAGTTTTTGCTAATATATATTTGTATTTATTTGATTTTTGTAGCAAGTTTAAAGGAACAGTATTTACTTGAAATAGAAATCTTTTGTAACATTAATGTCTTGGCTGTTACTTTTGTGATCAATTTAATACATCATTGCTGAATAAAAGTAAAATTTGAATTGTAGTGTATCACAGATTATGTAAGATCATTAAGCAGCAAAAACAGTTAGTTTAAATTGTAATTTTAAAAGTGTAACTTTTTTTTAACTCAAATAAATGCAGCCTTTGTGAGCATATGACTTTTAACCTCAACTATTTATAGCATTCAGAAATTGTAACAGGGTGACCAGTCGAAGAGATGTTCTTAGAGGCATAGCATTAATCATTCACAGTTTTGTTTTATTAAGCAATACCACACAAAGCAGAAATCGAAGCAGCTTAGCTTCAAGACGTCTTATTTGTCTTCGTCTTATTGGTTGGTTAACAACATATAATAGTATATAAAAGAAACGCATATTCACGTACAGAATGCTAAATAAAAAATGACCACAATTTATTCTTCTTCTTTGCCTTGATATATTTCCCACAAATCGTCACTAGATGGCGAAAGAGTACCTTTTTTGTGTCGTTTGTAATTTTTTTCCCCCCGCTTGCGCCACCATTTTTCTTTCAGGGTGGCAGATGGCATAATGAAAACAACTTAGTGCCAGAGAAGACTTTAATGAAGCTGCAGGGCATGTGTGCTGTGAATACATCTGAAGGGCATTAAAGACTGTAGTTTGTGACAGGATTTCTCTCTCTCTGCAGTCTGAATGAATGTGCGCATGTTCCCGGCCCGAGTTACCCAACGACCCAGAGTTCACAGTGTTAAGTAGGTCAAACTCAGCAGGTCAGAAGTGACGCTGTCGCCTCTAGAGGAACGCTCTATCATGCTCCTGTATCTCACACTGCACAGTTCACAGTGTTAAATAGGTCAGTCTCAGCAGGTCACACAACCATGTCGACCGTGGAGGAATTTGTTCTCTGAAGTGTGTAAGTCTACATGTGTGCCATAAATATTATTGTAAAGTTATTTTATACCGCAGTAGCAGCCTACAATGAAATTTGGTGTTAAGCGTTTTAACCCAAATATGATCATCCCCCTCCTAAAATTTAAAAGGCAGCTATATTTTTTCATGAATACAGACCCAAATTATACTATAAAAATTTACGTTTTTTAACTACTCAGGTACTATTAGATGCATTTATTTATTTATATTACATTATATACTTTTGTTGTTTTTCTCTAAATCTTTCCATTGACCCCCTAGCACTCATTTCATGTACAAAGAACCAATTTATATTGTAAAAATTTATATTATGAATGTGTAAAATATAATTTGAAAAAAACAAATTCATTTGTATTGTTACATTATGTTTTCCCTACTCACCTAAGAACTGTACTGTTAGATGTAATAATAATAATAATAATAATACATTTTATTTGTAATGCATCTTTTGCAAACTCAAAGCACTACATGTAAAAAACTAAATAACAAATCAAAACAAAAATACATAATATAAAAAATTTGAATCACTGTAGTAAATCATAAATGAAAAATAGACACAGTAGTAGTAAATCATAAATGAAAAACTACTAAAAAGATGCGTCTTAAGAAGTTTCATAAAACAATCCAAAGAAGCAGCATTCCTAATAAACGCAGGTAATGAGTTCCATAACTTAGGCGCATTATTTATTATTTATTTTACAATGAGGCTGATACAAAGAGAGAAACAAGCAACAGAGCGGATAGAACGAGAGGGAGTGGATAGAGTAACCAAGTCACAAATGTAATCTGAGCCAACCCATGCACTGCTTTATATGTTAAAATCAAAGTTTTAAAATCAATACGTGATTGAACTGGGAGCCAATTAAGTTGCTGGAGCACTGGGGTAATGTGATGGATGGTGAGGATATGTACAGCTGAGTTTTGTATATACTGCTGGTAAACCCACAAAGAGAGAATTACAATAATTGAGCCTTGATGTAATGAAGGCATGAATAAGCCTCTCAGCATCAGGCCTAGAAAGAAAGGGTCTAATGCGAGAATTAAAAGTCAGCTGAGCATCAAAAGTCAACTGGGTATTGTCAACTGTAAGTTTAAAATTACGGCACTTATTAATATTAGATGGAGTGCCAGTTAATAAAATTTCAGTTTTAGAACAATTTAGCTTAGATGTATTTATGTAGTGCTGTCAAATGATTAATCGCGATTAATCGAATCGCGATTAATCATTTGACAGCACTAATTTATTGATAATAAATCTTTTGTTTATTTAAAAAGTTTAAATATCTATAAACAAAACATATTATTATTTTTTAAATTGTTTTAAACAATAATTTTTTTCTTAACTTTTCCATGAACCCCCTGGCACTCCCGTGCAGACCCTTATTTAATTTGTAAAGACCTATTTTATACTGTAAAAATAAATATTATGAATGTGTAAAATATCAATTGAAAAATATTTAT